ATAAACATTAAGTCACTTATTAGAGATTTAGTTAAATCCATTCATTCAAATCAAGAGCAGAGGTTAAATAAGGAGCTAGGGTCTTTCACAAACCAACTAACATGATAACTCCAGTTGTTTCCAGGTAAGAGTTAAAATACATGTAAAATATCTTACCGCATTTTCAAACAAAACTGCAAACAAAACACCAGGGCCTTCAAGTACCTTCCAAGCAACTTGAGTCGTTTTACTTACATCATGAAGACAGTTTTCCCCTGAAGTATTTCTTATTCACAAAATACTTCAAGACTCTGTTCTTTCAGGCTGCTTCTTGACATGGAAAGATTTTAATGTCACTGTTTTACCTTTAGCTAGGGATTTTTGCCTCTTCAGCCAACTTTCCGCTCTACTTGTTCTACCTGGTTGTTTTATCTCCCCAGATATGACTGTCTGCAACCCCCTTCCCACTCTGGCTCCCACACTTCAACCTGTATTTTCTCTACATCACTGCAGAGGGGTTGGGTAGGTTGGAGAAGAATGGGGGAGAATGATTAAAGAGGTGACATTGATCCAAATGTGTTGTAGTCATAACCCCCCTTTTTTTAAAAAAGATTATTATAAGGTTTATTAGAGGAGCCACATTTCCCCCAAGAGGGAGCACATGGCATCCTTCACCATCCAGGTAGCAGGAGGGTCTGAGGGAAGGAAGTGAGGTAGATGGGATTTTAGGTGGGTCTGGGCAGAGAGCAGCCAGCTGTATGCCAGGAACTCCAGGGATGAGAAGGGCTCAGGTCTGGGTGGAGCTGAGGACCAAAGGTAAGCATAATACTAACATTCCCCACTCTGTTGTTTAATAAAAATAGGGACTACCAGGCTGAGGGTATGGGCAGAGGTTGTTTCTTTCGGAGCTACTTTCTGCTATAAAGGGGCGAAGTAGTCGTGGGTCCTTGTTTCATTACTTGGCCGGGTACTGGCCAAGAAGCATATAAAACCCCCTTTGTACGTGTACTTACATATAATAAAAATATAGTAATAAAATACATCACTACAGCATAGTTTCTAAGGCTTACCATTCTTTTTTTTTAGGCTTACCATTCTTATTTTGATATTTTATGGTGCCAAGTCAATCAGCAAATGTTTCACAAGTGTTTTTTGTAGAAGGCACTTTTCCAGTTCAGTGGGAGGAACACTTCTCTTTGTGGAGCTTGATGTGTAGTTGATTTTTGAGCAAGGGAGGACTCCCTTTATTTAACTGTTTCTTTTTGTTCTTCTTATTTTCTTTGTCTAGGTTCTGAACCACATTACAATAGCCTCCTAAATTGTCCTCAAGCTTACTGATATCAGATCAATCCTAGTTCCTCTTCTTTAAAAAAGGTTGTGTGGTAAACTTCCCCTGTCCTTACCTTCTTTCTACCCAACAATATTTTAAATTAAAATCCATTACATGCAAGCCGGACACCAGTGACTCATACCTGTAGTCTTAGCTACTCAGCAGGCTAAGATCTGCCAGCTCTGGCAGAAAATTCCTTGAGACTCTTATCTCCAGTTAACCAGCAAAAAGCCTGAAGTGGAGCTATGGCTCAAGTGGTAGAGCACCAGACTTGAGAGAAGAAATTAAGGGACAGTGCCCAGGTCCTGAGTTCAAGCCCTTCTACCAGCACACACACACACACACACACACACACACACACACACACACACACACACACACACCACAAATACATTGCATACATACATGGAAATATCACTGAAACACCTTTAGACAGTCAGTATATGCTAAACTTTAAAAAATCTTTTTCAGACGAGATCGGGAGCGTTCAGGGTAGTATGGCCGTAGACTAAAAAATGGTTTTCAAAGATATCATAATGCCTATCAAATACACAGTTGGACCATGTGACATCTTTTTCAAACCTTATTGCTTGGCTTGAAATTTCTCTCACTTCTACCTTTGAAATCTAAGTCGTATTACATCTTTAAAGTTCAATACAAGTGCTGAATTCATCCATGTATCTATTTTCCACTTGCCCATAATATCTTTCATTTCAATTTTTGTGATTATAGTCTACATGACTCAATTACTATTTAATTTATGCTACCTTGCCTGGCTTGTTTCATATGTATATGGCTCCTCGCCATCTAGATTGCAAATTGATGAGCTCAGGGCCTCAGCATAATGCATCACTCACAAAGATGCTTAATACATTTTCTGATGAAGATGATGATGATTTTTCTGGGCTTCTGGGCCAAGGAAGATTTGTACAGATGCATGACAAAGTTAAAATTCTAGAACTTGGGAGAGGAATAAAGGAAAGCTTTTTATAATAATAGTCCAAAGTATGGTAAGAACATCAGTATGTTTTTTCCTGGCTTAGATCTTCATTTTATTACCAGAAGAGCTTTACTAAGATCAAAAAAGAAAGAAGGGAAGAACTTTGGAATTACTATGAATTTATTTGGCTACTGAGGGAGAAGCAATCAAAGTGATACTGAACCTGAGGAACTGTAGTAATAATAGTAGTAGCATTGAAAAAAATAGTAAACCAGAGGTGAAGAGCAGATATGAAGAGAATAAAGTTTGTTTTTAGATATGGTGTACAATGATTTATAGGAACTTTAACCCAGTGGACATATCTAGGAAGCAGTAAAAGATGTTTTCACCATTCAATACTATGCAAAAAATATTTACTTAACATATACTGTGTTGCAGTCACTATGCAAGGGATAGGCAAAGTCAAATAAGACACAGTCTCTCCAGAGAGAGAGAGGAAGAGTTCTCTAGAACTTATGTTTAAGTGAGGAAGACAGATTAACATATTATTGTGATGTAAGGTAGTAAACACTATTTCCAAAGGCGATGCTTTGGAGATACAAATAAGGGAACAAAAGATTGAGAAGTTAAAGACATGATGATTAGTGAGTAGGTCCTTGAAAGGTAAGGAAAAGATTGTTCAACAAATGAGCAAATGCCTTTCTGAGTAAAAGGATAATCTCAGGCAAACATATGGGACATGTAGTTCTATGGGAAAACAACAGAGCCTGAATTGACTAAAGGTAAAGGGATGTCAGAATAAAGAGATGATGAAATGGAAGACAGGTACATTTTCTAGAGAGGCAGTATATGTAATTGGTAAAATGTGAACCCTCCTGTTAGACTCCCTGGATCCAAATCTCATCTCTATCACTACTAGCTGTGTAGCCTGGAACAAGTTTCTTCATCTCTGTGTCTAAGTTATCTATCAAATGGGAGAAAGGAATCCTTCTTCAAAGGATTGTTTTGAGGATTGGGAGAACTAGAATATATAAATTGATGAGAGTAATGACTACCATACAATAAGTGCTGTGTAAAGGTTAGTCTAAGGAGTAAATTACAGGGAACAAGGTAGTATGCCATGTATAGTACACACAAGTAGCAACCTGAAAAAGAAACTGTGTTTACAAGTACTCTAAGCAATGGCCCAGGGAGAACTAGATACTTCTTTTATTCTCAGATGAGTGAGAATTCCTTGAGATGATAATATGTCTATCTTGGTCCAGAGATGGACATTTTGCTGGAGTTAAAATATGTACAGGACATCTGTGAAGAGAGATAGTGGCTGAAAATGCAGCCCTCTCCTACTAATGACGCATTCAGCTCCTTGAGTTTGAATGAGTTCAAGCAATCCATTCTCTATTTCTCAGCCTTCTAGAGCTCTGCTCAAGTGGTCCTTGAATAGACTCTTGGAATTATCGTGCTTCTCTATGTGACTGCTCTATGTGCTGCTGAAATAAAACTGAAACCTTATCTGCCTCCCCAGCCAGCCTAGGGGTTTCACCTAACACAACTCAGTTTGAATTATAGTTTTACCATTTATCCAGCTATATGACTTGAAGCAAGGCACTGAAATTCTCAGAACCTCAATTTCCCTGTCCTTGAAATGAGAATAAAGGTGCCAGTGGCTCATGACTAATCCTATCTACTCAGGAGGCTGAAACCTGGAGGATTGCAATTCAAGGCCAGAAAGGGCAGAAATACCTATGAGACTCTATCTCCGAGTAAACAGGAAAAACTGACTGGAAGTGTGATTCAAGTGGTAGATTGCCTGCTGTGAGCAAGCAAGCCTAGCAAAAGTACAAGGCCCTGAGTTTAAACCCTAGTGCCAACAAAACAAAACATGACTGCTGTATCATAAAGCTATAAAGATAATTTAATTGTATCTATAAAATGCCTGGTATGCTAAGTCTTTGCCTTCTTTCCCCTTTATATTTAGGAAGCCTAAAGATTTGTTTCTTTCATTTTAGCCCCTTTCTGGGGCCTCTGTATCATGGATTATCAATAACTAAGGGAGATATGGGAGAAATCAGTCCATGGACCAGCAATGACGAATAGAATCTTTTACTTTGACTTTGCAGTAGAGATAGTTTATATAGGTAGTTTCACAAAATAGGAAAGGTAGTCAGACACTGAACAAAGATACCAATAAAGACATACCAGGTGAGGAAATACCAGTAAAATATAACAACTACATGAAAAAATACCTACACATTTATATAACTAGTGGGAAAATATATCTGCACATTCATGTATTTAAAATTAGGAAATAACAAGGAAAATGGAGTACATTTTTGTTAGGACAGTTAGAAATATGTTGTCACAATATTATTATTGTGTTTGTGGAGGAGGGTGCTCTCTTCCTGATATACGTAAATCTCCTTACCCTCTTTTCAAATGAACAGCAGGACAGGGTGCTGGAGTAAAGGGAATTGCACAGTGGGAATAACATGCCCCCATCTCATCTGTCCTTCTGCCCAGCCTTCCATTAACCATCATGATCTACCAGAGGTCCGGAGAGCTTCCTATCTGTGGTGCTTCAATGCCCTTGCATCATTAATATCATCATCTCTACTCTTCTTCTAGGAGTGGATCTTATCGAGGGAGGTATGGAAGAAGTTGTGCATGTTTAGCTGTCAGTCCAAACCTTTTAAGAGTCAGCAGGGGACAAAGGCAACAATCACTGTGTAATACTCTGGACTTTCTTGGCAGGTGAATACTGCTATGCACGAGGCAAAACTTATGGAAGAATGTGATGAGTTGGTAGAGATCATCCAGCAAAGGAAGCAAATGATTGCTGTGAAAATCAAAGAGACAAAGGTAAAGCATGACATTTCAGTGAGGCCAAGGAAGAGCTAACTTTTCACAGATGGCAGAGTTTGATCCTGATGATTACAGTTTGAACTTGGATCGTGAAATCAGAAGAATTGAGTTGTAGGGAGGAGGGAAGAAGCAGAGTTTGGCCTATTGTTATGAACCCAATAAAAATGATGACAATTCAATGGAAACATTCTAAATTTTGACCTGGTTGTTGGTAACATGGACAGATGAATATATGGAAGTATTCCTATATTTGTACACTCAGAATTTGGGTGTTTTGCTGTTGTATTAGCCATCATTAAAAAAGGGGGGGCTGGGAAGGTGGCTCATTGGTAGAGTGCTTGCCTTGCATGCATGAGGCCCTGGGTTCGACTCCTCAGCACCACATAAACAGAAAAAAAGCCAGAAGTGGTACTGTGGCTCAAGTGTGCCCAGGCCCATAGTTTAAGCCCCACTTCTGACAAAAAAAGAAAGAAAGAACAAAAGAACGAAAGAAAGAAAGAGGAAAAAGAAAAAAATGATGGTAGATATTAAATATGTGCCAGGGTTATAGAAGTTAATAACTGGAAAGCTGAAGAATTGTGATCCAAAAGGTCAGATATGAGCCTCCATGCAGCTCTAATGTTTTAGGTTTGTTGGCCTGCTGGTCAAAGTTAGTGATTATAAGTTCATGCTGTGGGTACAGTGTGAAACTTTATGAGAACCTGGTTTGATGAACAGCACTGTATACCATGCTGGGTACTTCCAGCTAACACAGAAATTGAAATTTGCAAGGAAACAGATTTGGAAACACAGCATTATGAATAAAGAGACTTAGAAACATATATACATGGAGGTATAGATACTCACAAAGAAAAATAAGGTACTTTTTGTTAAATGTATGGACAGTAAGATGTAAAAATAGTGATCTCTGGTGGGTAGAATTTTGTTTTTTTCAAATTTTCTTTTTTTGGGGGGGTCCAGTTGTGGGGCCTGAACTCTGGGCCTGGGCACTGTCCCTCAGCTCTTTAGCTCAAGGCTAGAGCTCTACCACTTGAGCCACAGTGCCACTTCCAGCTTTTTTCTTTTTACTTATGTGGTGCTGAGGAATCGAACCCAGGGCCTCAGGCATGCAAGGCAAGCGCTCTATATAGTGAACATATATTGCTTTCATAACAAAATTAATATTATTAATACAAAGATAACTGAGCATATATGACTGTGCAATGTAAGTGAGTTATAAGTTGGAGAAGGAAAAGTTGGCAGGAGAGACTTAGCGGGTACATCAAGAAGTTAAAAGGGCCAGGCACTGGTGGCTCACGCCTGTAATCCTAGCTACTCAGGAGGCTGAGATCTGAGGATCATGGTTCAAAGCCAGCCTGGGCAGGAAAGTCCGTGAGACTCTTATCTCCAATAAACCACTAGAAAACCGGAAGTGGTGCTGTGGCTCAAGCGGTAGAGCGCTCGCCTTGAGCTGAAGAGTGCAGGGACAGTGCCCAAGCCCAGAATTCAAGCCCCACAACCGACAAAAAAAAAGAGAGAAGTTAAAAGGTTAATACAGGGACTGTGGGATACTAAGAAGCCTTATTTTTAGAATCATTACAGCAGATCTCCTTCATGGTGTTTTATTGTTTTTAATTAAGCACTGTATTTTTTATCTTTTTTCCTTTACTAATTCCTTTAAGGTTATGAAACTGAGAAAGTTGGCACAGCAGGTGGCTAATTGTCGTCAGTGTCTTGAGAGGTCAACAGTCCTCATCAACCAAGCCGAACATATTCTGAAAGAAAATGACCAGGCACGGTTTCTACAGTCTGCAAAAAATATTGCTGAGAGGTAGGTTTCCTATATTCTTTGGAAATGCCTGATCTTATGAAAGGGGTTGACTTCAAGTGAAAGAATTCTGTTCAAGCATGTGTGTAGAAGCTGCCACCTGATGATTTTACCAGCTAGGTGATTATAGAGCCCAAGTGCTATATTACTCTGTGGGTTTCTGGACCATTCTCTTCATCTTTTCAGCCTACCAGTTATTTTAGTGCATAGCCCAACATGAGGTCTTTACTCCTGCTGCTTACTTAGGGCTTGAGCTCTTTAAATGGTTATGGTGTAGGAAAAAACACTTATGGTGACATTGATAGATTGTGCCTTTCCTAAGCCTTTGTGCAGTTATTGTTTCTCTCATTTAGTTCTTTACATAAATCCTTTACAACAGCAATTCTTTGACTTTTATTTTTGTCACTCATTACTTTGAAAATCTGATGAAAGTCAAAAGCCTTATTTGTTAAGTAGAAAATAGATAATTTTGTACAGAGGACTTGTGTATTCTTGGGAGCCCATCCATAAGCCATTGGCAAAGAATTCATGGTCTAAAAGTGCATTGTTCAGTACAATTACCAAGGCCTCTGGATACTAAACCAGATCATTAGGCCAGATTTGACCTCCTTTATAGCTCCTTCTCATTCATTGAAGACTTGGGATCCAGGCTCAGATCTTTTTCTTATTGCTTCTACAACAGCACCTGCGTGGCTGACTTAATATAATGCTCTAGCCATCTAACCTCCTAGACATCCTTTCCTCCAGAGACTCTTACCTGTGTATCACTTCATCCACCCACTTCCAATTAACTACATCCAGAGCCATATCATCACTCGGAATTGCAGTGAAATCACAAACTAAGGCATCTTCTTTTGAACAATCTCCATGCCTGTAAATATTTTTATTCAAATGCATCCATCTTTAACTGTATTGAGATCTGTAAGTCCTGCCTACCTACTGCTACCTCCTATCTTCACTTTTTATTTTTAGCTTATTTGGGGTATGTAATTTCTCACTTCAGCAACTCTCCTTTCAATCTGTTCAATTTCTTTGCCCATTGCCCTTTTATCAGTGATAAGATTCCAACTCAAAATATAGCAAAAAATGAAAGAAAATTTACAGAGCCTAGCATCCAATAAAAAATTAGCAGATGTGCAAAGAATCCAGAAAATACAACCCATGAGTAGTAAAAGCATTAGAATTAGTAGGCAAAAACATCACTACAGGGCTGGGAAGGTGGCTCAGTGGTAGAGCGCTTGCCTTGCATGCATGAGGCCCTTGGTTTGATTCCTCAGCACCACATAAAGAAAAAAGCCAGAAGTGGCGCTGTGGCTCAAGTGGTAGAGCGCTAACCTAGAGCTGAGGGACAGCGCCTAGGCCCAGAGTTCAGGCCCCATGACCGGACCCAAAAAAAAAAAAACCAACACTACAATTATAATTTTAACCATAAATTCAAAAGGCTAGAGGAAGACTGAATATCTTTCTATATGTGTGTATTCATTCTCAGGCTTGAACTCAGAGCCCCAAGCTTTCACTTCTAGACGGCAGTGTACCACTTGAGCCACATCTTCACTTCCAGAAGCTTCTGCTAACCACTGTTCTACTCTCTACTTGACTTTTAACATTTCTTAAACATGAGGTTGTATAGTATTTGCTTTTCTGTGCCCGGCATATTTCATTTAGCATGATGTCCTCCTCCAGGTTCATCCATGCTGTCATAAATGACAGGATTTGGTTCTTTTTAAAGTTGAAATATTCCATTTTGTATGGACACTATTTTATTTATCCATTCATCTATTGACAGAAATATAGATTGATTATGTGTCTTAACTATTATGAATAATACTGTAATGACGATCAGAGTGTACATATCTCTTTGACATTGATTTCAAGTCCTTTAGATATGTTCTGGGAAGTGAGATTGTTAAATCATATGCTAGTTATATTTTTCTTTTTTTGGAGTAATCTGTGTAGTTTGCTACAGTAGTTATACTAATTTACATTCTCACCAATAATGGAAAGGGGTTCCATTTCTCTGTATCCTTGTCAATATTTCTTATCTTTCATCTTTTTAAATAGTATCCTTCAAAATCAATAACTTTTTAAGATCTTACCTTAAACTTAGTTTTTACAAATTTTTACCAAGATTTGCCTGGGTTGTGCATCATTGTTAATGCATCCCTCTTGGTAGGATGGTCTAAGCATTTCCAATGTGAAGACTAGTAGCCTAGTTCTGGATTTTTTTCTAATACTATTTATTAATATTTCTTCCTTTATTCTCTTTCTTCTTCCTCTCTGGAACTCTAGTCAGATATGGAATATCCTAGATTTATCCTCTAACATTAAAAATCTTTTGTTTCCAATAACTTCGTCTGTTTGTTTTAAGATAGTATCTAAGATACTTTCTTAAGTTTTTCATCCACTCTTTCTAGCAGAATCTGAATTTCATCATTTATATTTTTATTTACAAGTCTTTTGTGGATCTTTGGGTTATTTTTCATTTTTTTTAAATTGTTATTATAGCCGGGCTCTGTTGTCTGTAATCCTAGCTACTCAGGAGGCTGAGATCTGAGGATCATAGTTTGAAACCAACACAGTCAGGAAAAAAAATCCATGAGACTCTTACCTCCAATTAACCAGCAAAAAGCTGTGGCACAAAAGCTCAGGGACAGTACCCAGGCGCTGAGTTCAAGTCCCACAACTGGCCAAAACAATTAATTAGTGAAATAAAATACAATTACTATTATAAAGGTGATGTACAAAGGAGTTACCATTTCATAAGTCAGTTAATGAGTACATTTCTTTTTGGACAGTATCACCCCTTCCTTCACTCTCTTGTAGTTTTTCTCACCCATCCCCACACGCAGGTTGTATATAGTTCATTTTCAACATAGTACCTACTGAATCCCACTGCTGCATTTGTTCATCTTTAGTCCCTCTATTTCTGTGTCCCCTTACCTGCCCTCCCCAAATACACATAAATGAGCAAATAAGGCAAAAAGAGAGAAAAAAGCCTCTTGTTTTCATTTCCTGGAATTCTTTTGATAAATATTATTTTATATGATTAGAGGCACAGAAGCATTGTTTCTTTGAGTTTGTCCCCTAAGAGTATCCTCGTTTGGTCTCACTGTGTGTGACTGCCTAGAGTCCTGCATAATTTAATATGCCCTGGGGTATTTTAGATCTAGCTTCTGCGTATGAGAGAAAACATGTGTCATTTGTCTCTCTGACTTGGCTTTACTTTACCTGTCTCATAATTGTAATCCCTCTGTACATCACCTCTATAAAAACAATAAAATAAATTAACTTTTTAAAATTCCATTGTATATAGGTACTACATTTTTTTTTGATCCATTCATCTATTGTAGGGCATCTGGGCTGTTCCCATAACTTGGTTTGTGTATATGCAGTAATAAACATGGATGTGTAAGTATTTTATGGTATTCTGGCTTGTGATGTTTTGGGTAGATGCCCAAAAGTGATATGGTTGGTTTATGTTTAGTTTTTTGAGGAACCTCCAGACTGCTGTCCAGAGTGGTTGTACTAGTTTGCATTCCCACCAGCAATGCAATAGGGTTCCTTTCCCCCACATTCCAACTAGCATTTGTTGCTGCTTGAATTCACAATGTTGGCCAATCTTAACTGGGTTGAGATGGAATCTCTGAGTTGTTTTGATTTGCATTTCCTTTATGGCCAGGGATGTCGAGCACTTCCTCATATGTTTCTTTGCTCTTTGCTTATTTTTAACATTTTATTGTTGTTTCATGGCCACAAACTATTTGCTTGTTTTCCAGAGAATATTTTTATTTTAAAAAGTTTTTTTCAAAACTCTGCATTGTCTTGGTTACCTCTAAGTTTCTTCTGTAAGTTTGTTTTAGTTTCTGTCCTTCCATTCCCTATATCTAGTAAGTTTTAGCCTACCTTTTAAATTGTAATCACTAAAAGCTCTCACTAAAGTGGGTATAGAATTATACATTTGGAACTCTCTCTCTCTGTGTGTGTGTGTGTGTGTGTGTGTGTGTGTTCTTTGGTACTGGGGCTTGAACTCAGTTCTGAACAGTGTGTTTTAGCTTTTTCTGCTCAAAGCTGGTACTTTACCATTTGAGCCACAGCTTCACTTCTACTATTTTAGTGGTTAACTGGAGATAAGAGTCTCATAGATTTTCCTGCCTGGGCTGGCTTTGAACTTCAGTCTTCAGATCTCAGCCCCCTAAGTAGCTAGGATTACAAGCATGAGCCATTAGCGCCTGGTGGAACACTAATTTTTTTTTCAGTTCTTGGTTAGAGGTGGAGTTACAGGCCTGCTTTCCAGCATTCTGGGAGCCAACAGGGAAAGGGAGTTGAGGGTTTTAAGATAGCTTTTAGTATAATGTCAAAACTCACAAAAAGTAGACCTCACATCCTTACATCTGCTGCCAGAAAGTGGAAAACAACAATTTTTAGTGGATCTGGGGGTCTAGTTATTTTTCATGCACACTTTCAACTTTATGCCATTAAATCAGCTTGATGTTGCTGGCTTTCTGGTCCAGCTTTCTCTGTTCTGTTGTTGGTTACCACACATTCATCCAAACATTTGTTGACAATCTCTTAATTGCTGGCATCTCCTTTTTTCCATTTGCTTTGTCTTTGTGGGGTTTATGACGTTTTATTCTTTGTCATTTCAGAGGGATTTCATGAAAACAGAGCTAAAACATACAATTAAACCATTGTAATTGTAACCACTCAATCTTCAACCCTCTGAAATATTTTTCCCACCTCTTTGAAAGTTCTTTTGAAGGTCACCAAATAAAGACCTTGTTTCTAAACAAAAGAAATTCCTTTGTTTCATCTTTCCCTTTCATCTAACTTCATCCTTCTCAGTAGTATTTTTCCTGATTCGCCATTTTTGTTTGCCAGTCATAAGGCTTGATCTCTGGGCCTGCACCCTATCCCTGAGCATTTTTGCTCAGGTCTAGGGCTATACCACTTGAGCCACAGGTCCACTTTAGCTTTTTGGTATTTAATAGGAGATAAGTATCTCA